TAGGCAAACCAATCTGCAACGCTCTTCACCTTCGTCGTTCTCAGGCTTCTCTCCTTGATGTGAAAGAGATCTGACTGGCGTTCAAGAAAGGTCATGAGAGTGTGCAGCAGATCCTGGAATGGGTTGCTCCAAAGTCTTCAATTGTACAACTGGCTCATGCAAAAAGAAACACATCCCCCTTGCTCTGGCTGGTGTGCTCCGAAAACCTCTGAAACAGTCTGAAACAGTATGATATGATGATTGCTGTCTTTGCCTCAATTCCCTTGTGCTTCTGTGCCAGGCCAAGGAGAAGGTCATCCTGATGGACGAGGTCGATCAAGATCTGGGGGGTGGTTTTCAGGGTCCAGGAGGTGAAGGATGAAAGAGGATTCGGCATGACCGCAAACAAACATTATATCATCGTTACTTGAGAGGAGGGAGACACGAAAGGTAGGACAGCGGGAAGAGAAGAGAACGCGAGAGGCAGGAACAAAAATGCAATGTTCGACATGGTGATTTATCCCCTCGGAGGCGACCTTTCGTAAATATATATATATTCATATGCACTCTAAATGTTCAAACATATGCTCTCGAAATGTTCAAAAAGATTCTTAGGAAAACAAACTTGCCCCATGGCTCAGATCATCGGTGAGCATTGAATCGGAGCATCATAGGATTTGAACTATCCTGAAATCATGAGAGGCTCACGAACACGTTCTCCAGGAGAGAATTGAATTTAGAGGGGGGGGGTCTGTATTGAAAAATCAATTCGAGGGGGGGGGTGTTGAATTGAATGATTAATTATTAGACCCGGACGCGCCAACACTTGCTTCGCAAGACAAACTCAAGGTATCCCCTAAAGGGCTACCTTTCGTGACTTGTAACAAGTGCATTGCTACTAGTAACAAGCAGCTACTAGTAACTGGAAACAAGAAGTCACCTCCGAGGAATGCACAAAAACCACACCACTGAGTGCCAAACAAAGCGACCATCCATGGCTGCAAAGTCTCAGCACCAGCTGTCCACAAGTTGTTGTTTGTTTGCGCTGGGGTTGCAAGTCGGGGTGTGGCAGGACTCGGCAATGTATGTAGAGCACATGATGCATTGCACGCGTCACGTGTGGGCACTGCAGATGGTGCCCTGCAAGGATTTCCCATTCATTTTTTGTCATCGGTTGTCTGTTTTTCTAAAGCTGTTGTCTATGAAACAACAACTGGTACAGCATGGTCAGTCCGTCAGAGCACACATAGCAGGATTTCAACTCCAGTGTCTTCTAGGTACGAGTGTCATGTCCATTTGAATGTGCTGCTTTATCCAGAGATTGAGTTGCAAAACGCCAAAGGTCATAATCGAATCACAATCTTTGGTAGTATGCCTCAAGCTATGGTGCAAGGCTGCTTCTCCACCATTCACCAGGTTGTTTCATATTGCTTCATATCCTTTTAAAATGTCACGCTTGTGGGCTCCTGGCCTTTAAAACCTCGCTCAAAAGCTCCTGGGAGACCATTCACTCATTGACCACGCACAGTACATTCAAAGTAACTTACAGTAGCCACTTCACGTTAGACAGCTGCATCACTTCAAAGCCTCATATCTGAAATCGCAGTCTCAATCTCTGAGATTCCCACCCTGCTCACATCCTCCACAACCGGTCGATGCAGAAATGAAACAGTGCACATCTTTTGGCCCAGGTTGCCACTTTCACCTAAAGCCTTGAAGCAGCCTGGTCGTGTTTGTCTCAAAACTTGAGCCCCACTGGAGCACTCACTCTTTGGCCAGAAAAGCTGTGCAATGCTCAAACAGCTAAATCAAGAGCGGATGGAAGATGAAAGGGGTCAGCTCCACAACTCCTTATGTGCTCTATGTCCTGTAGTATCTACAATGTCTCTACGGACAACCTTCATTGGCCAACAAGTTTGGAGGCTCTTGGGTCACCCCTCTGATCAGTGCTCCTGCATCCGCAAGGTCTGTGACCATGACAAGACCACGTGAAGGAAAAGCCTCAGAATGAGAAGCATAATTTGCACCTCCAGAAATCAATTCTGATGCGAAGCGGACGTGATCCTGCAACGCAGGACCGGCACCCTGGGACAAACAAGTTCAGTGAAACAACCATGTAGTCTTGTCTCTGCAATGTCACTGGCTAAAGGTCGATGCAAAACTCATCAAAACGGTTGAATTCAGAACAAATATGTCAGAGATTCCTCTGCTGGCTAAATCACAACTCTCTGAACCAGAAAAACAAAATGCCAAACGTAAAGCAAACAAAGGCTGCTTCTATCCTTGCCACCACTGAGCGTGGAAAGCTTCGAAAGACAAGGCACGAAATGCTCAGAGAGCCATAAGGGCATCGATCAAGATCCTGCATGCGAAGCGAAAAGCTCTTCAGTGCCCAGCAAAAGCATAGGCTGCGATGTTATATACCTTTCTGAAACATCTCAAAGTAAAGATGTCTCACTCCTCTGTCCCAACACCTTCAGCCACGCTTGCTGCCCGAGCAATATCGAGCCTGCAGTTGCTTGCACATCAAGCTACTCGAGGTTATATTTAAAAAAGAACCTAGTGTCTGGTTGGTATTTTCCTCACATGAAATTGTAAGCATACCATGCTGAAAGTTAGGGACGGTCTTGCACATCACCGTGGTATAAGCGCCTTTGTTGTCTGGCGACGCGGAGGAACACATAGAGTTTCTTCTTGACCTCGTGTATGTTGCGGAACACACAACTTTGCGAAACACTCAATCTCGCCTGAACTTTTTTTGGAACCTGGGGCCCTAGGGTCCCGTAGCCCTGAGTCATGACCAACCATTGGGCGACATTCTTTCAGCGATTGATTCAGGTTGTTGCTAGATACAAACGAGGATACTGTAAGACAGTTCATACCATACATTCATTCCAAATGTGTATATATATATATGTTGTTATTATCATCAAACAGTGGTCGAAAACATTTAAAAAAAAAAAAAAAAACATATTTGTTACACTGAGGCAGTGAATTTGGACTTTCATTCAATAGCAAAGAAATGGTCCAAAGGCAGGCCTGAAACCAAAGGGGGTCACTTTCGCAAGTTGCATCACCTGATTCCAGGGGGAATTGGCAAACGATCACTTTTACTTACCAAATGATGGTTGAGTGTAAAGTATACATCAGGAAATTAAATGAAATTAAACTAAACAATCAAACGCTCTGATATGATCTGCCTTTCAGTCTAAAAATGGATTGGCAACATCGAGAAAAACAATTCCCTTGCAGTGATGTGTTGTTGCGGTGAGGACAATGCCCATCTCAATGCTGTGCCCTTTGATACTCAAGCAGCAAGGAAAGGCATGTTGTCTGCTCGTGCCTGTCATGCCATCTCAACCTCAGACTGAGACTTCAGGGATTGAACTACTACTTTAGTCAAAACCGTTTCAAAACAACCTCAAACACTTGAACGTCGGTAATGGTTGGCTCATGCAGAAATTCAAATGATACGTTTCCGGTCTGCCCCCTTTCTTTAGAAAGAATGCTTGCGACACTGTCAGAGCAACAATATAATATAAGAATCAATGAATCCAACTTCCACAAGCCACTCAACTAACACGAGCCGAGTCCAGGCGCTGCATCGGCGCTGCATATTTTTTGGCTGGATTCGGGAGTGTCAGCAATCTTGTCTGCCAACAAGCTGGTGCACCCATTGGCATCAAACTTAAATCACGCTGGCAAAGACCCCAAATAGGTACCCTGGTATCGAAACCAGCCCTCTTGAATTGCGGTCCGACTTGCGCCACAAAATGCGATTAGAAGAGCAATGAAGCACCACAAGAGTGATGGGGCTGAGAAAACGCTGTCTTTGAGTAGTCCACAGAGAGTACTGTATGAGTCCATAGATTGGTCTGGGGTCTCCGTCGAACAATGCAAACCGCCCAACGCAACAAAGTGAAAGCGTGCCTGGCATAATGATCCTGGCCGCCCAAATGCGCAAGCAAAGCATTCTGATCGCGATCAATTTTTCAGTTATTTTGCTCAAGCCAGCAGCCGCAAGGGCCAAGTTGCCGGCACCGGCACATCCGAATCATTGGGATGCTCAAGAGGAAGTTCATAGAACCAACTGCAACATTGTAGCTCAACAAGCCTTCTCTCTGTGCCTTTTCATCCAATCCAAAGCAAGCAGCAACCTTCACGGCAGAAAAACAGCCAAGAACAGACAATATAATAAGCGCGTGGGATGCCGAGTAAACATATTTACTCCAAATTGTCCGTTTGTGACAAAGAACACCCATTGAGTATCTCAGGGGTGGCACTTGCGTCAACATCGTCCACATCTGTGGAAGTGCACAGCATTGAGAGCACCGTCCACAACATTTTACAGTGCCGCTGAGCTCGCTGAGTTCGCTGAGCTCGCTCTCGCTGGGGCTTTGTGCGCTTCCCGATGCAGTGGGGCTTTCTGTGCCTATGTCTGCAGCATACCTCATTGAAATGAATCTCTTTTCTCTTTTCTCTATTGAATTTCTCTTGCATTACTTAGGGTAACTCGATCAAGTTCATTTATGCCAGCATCGCTGCACCCAATTAATGTAGCCTTCTCCAAACTGCAAACTCTGAATTGCAGACTATAATACTATATGTTGGCTCCTTTATAGTCAATACATGACTGAACGCTCTTCCAAAATGTTAATGCCTTGGATGTCAAATATAAAAAGGCCAGGCCCAAAATGTTGCAAGTTGCAAGGAAATGCCGAGCCATCACACACATACAGAAAAGGGCCATCCATCGTGTGGCTAGGCCTGACTGAAATCCGGATGTGCTTCCGGAAGTCCAACTGCACCTCTTTTGACTCTATAGCCGACAGCAGCACCTGGGATTCAACCGCATCATCCGTTGCAGTGCCTGCCAATCCAGCTCTCAAGCTCCTCCTTCACCACAGTCTCACAAGTACAGCACTGGTCAAACAGAGACTTTCTCTTCTCCATAACAGCGTGGCAAATCCATCCATTTTCCTTGGGCCCCTGTACCTTTTTCAGCTGACTGGTAATTTTGATCATTGCGGGTGAGCCATGACTGGAGGTACCACCTGCAACAAACCGAGCACAGCGGCAACTCATGTTTTCCACCATGTCTGCTTTACCCAGACCCTTAGAAAACGCAGAACTGCCATGATGCAAGAACAACTAAACTCACAAATCAGAAGTCAAGCGCAGCGTATGTGACTAAGAGAAGAATGCAGCTGGCAACACAAAAAAAAGAAAACATGAACCCGCGCAAAACCGCTCTACTGCCACAAAAAGCTCCCAACTGAACGTGTTCAAATAGACTTATATAGATATGTAATCCTAGAGATCTGAGAAGAGTGTGGTGAAGAAGCAATGATATCTCCGTCAACGTTAACCAAGAGATGTCCAGAAGAAGCATCGGAGCAGTGTTGTTGCAGAAGGGTTGAGACTGTCAGCCTGAACTCCAGCTAGAGCGGGTGCTGCGGCACCAGCTCCAACTTGAAAAGCCGCCCAGTCGTGCACCAAGCCACTCAGTCCTGCTGAAGTGCACAGGCAAGTACAGTGCATTGCCAACATTGCAAAGCCTCGGCCCTCCAAACTTTAAAAAAAAACATTGCCTCCAGTCAGACATCTCAGAGGAGAATAAACATGACAAACCAACGAAGGCACAATCAATCTCAATCATCCCTCCAAGATCATCTCTATAGCTTCCTCACAAGTAGCTGCTATCAGAATCGGTAGCCATAGACAAAAATGATATCTCCCAGAACCCTCTTAGCGACTGCAATCTTATTTGTCAGCCTTGGCCCAGGTCATACTTCTCGATGATGCAAAAGTGTCGGTAGATGTGGATGCCGCGGATAGCTGCAACTGAGTCCTGGGGGAGGTGCACCAGTGTCGTTTCTGCCAGCATTATACATACATACATACATACATACATACATACATACATACATACACACAAACATACACACATACATACATACATACATACATACATACACACATACATACATACTTACTTACATACATACATACATACACACACATACATAGATACATAGATACATACATACATACATGCATGCATACATACATGCATACACGGCTCAAGCCACGAGTGGTCCAAGCCGGTCCCATACAAAACCGGATACAGGCAAAAAGCCATAGACTTCCGGGACACCGTGCACAGCACTGGACTCCTTTGCCCGTGATCACACGTGAACACCATCCTAGCTCCTGCAGAGTTCTTCGGTGTCTGGCAGTGCTCGCCCTGGATTTTCACCACAAGATCCTGCTGAACGAGCGCTACCTTCACCAACCTCTTTCAGGACAAGGCCTACTACCGCTTTGCCCGTGATCCCTTTGAGATAAAGAACCTTCCAGGCCAGAACGTGAAGGGCAACGGCAACCTTGCACCATGGCTCCTATGACCACCTGGTGTAGAAGCTACACTGTCTGCGCCCACAAGCAGCGCCGCAACTGGATTTGGGATGACAGGGAAGGTCCGGGCACACGCTGCAGGAAACTCGGAACATGGTGGCAGCAAGGGACCTCCCCTACAGGAAAAGGAAAAGGCCAAGGCCATGGCAATGGAAGCAAGATGTACCTCAATGCAGCCTGGCCCAAGAAGAACGTGAATGAAGACCTCATGGACCACCCACCAGTTTTGAACAAGTTCAAGCCCTTAAAGAAGAACAAGACACAGCAGTCAGCCGCGGAACTCCTGGCAACCACCTGGGAGGTGATACCAAGTGACATCCAAGGCAAACTTCAAGCGCTTGGAGGGACCACCTCAACCAGAAGAACCAGGCCTAGCAGAAGTTTTGCAAACACACCTCAATGCTTTACCACAAGCAGTCCAGGATGTGGTCAACAAACTCAACCAGCCAATCCCGGATACAGAAAAAGCGCTGGCCCAGAAGCTCAAGACACAAGTTACGGAGCTCAAGACCATCTCCATGAAGAAGGCACAGCTACAAACAAAGCTGGGCCAGATCAAGAGCCAATACGCCTCCATGTTGCAGGACATGCAAGAGCACCAAACCAGGCTCAACGAAGGGCAAAAGAAGCTCAAGACTTTGTCTGAGCAGTACATGCAAGCAGTCAACAAGACACCTATGCCAGCTGAACTGGGACCTCAAGAGGACCAAGAACTGCCCATCTCAATGGCGGTGGAAACCTTTGTTACAAGCCTAGGCATTGACCTCACTGACGAGCAGCGCAGCCAGCTGACCACTGCACCACTGCCGCCGGGAGGGCAGTTTGGGTAACAACACCCAGTCACTCCAAGGGTTTCAGGGGATCCACGCGCCGGTACCCCTTGACGAGTTCGATCAGGCACCACCAACCAATTCGGTTTGCCGCGCTGCCTCAAGATCAGCACAGGCGGGGGAGCAGCAAATGACACACTGTGCAATGGGAAAGACACAGAAGGATTTGCGGAACCTTTTAAAGCACCAGCTACTTTTGGGGACACCTCACACAGGAGTGCAGGGGCATGGATACCTCTTGAACCACAAGAACAAAAAAGCCAAAAGCACCCCTACCAGGGACACAGCTGCTGGACAGCGCTGGAGCCACTTGCGCCTCAACCACACAATGGGTGGGCCTATACGCTAGATGCCACGCCCTCCTCCTACGATGAAAGGAGTCAGATGTGGGTCTTCGGCCTTTGTGTGCACACTATGTCCTTGGGTCAGCTCAAAAGACTCGAAGCCATAACAGGGGTGGCAACTGGAGTGCAAACCAAGGCACGCGCTTTGATAGCAGGAATAGTGGCGTTGGCTAAACACACCACTCGGGCCAAGGTCATAGTGCAACTGGCCACAGTCTGGGACGCATGGCACCAACCCAGAAGCAGAGCACCTTTCCAAGACCTTTTGGAGGACGTCACCACCCAGGACTTCGACAGAGCCACGGTCCTTTACATAAGCAGAAACGCCAGAACTCCTGACGCACCGGGCAATGAGCCTCAACTTCGGCGGAGACAGCGTGACTCAGCCTTGACCGCTTGGGAGAGGGCCAAAACTTTGCACGACCAGAAGCAGGCGGATTGGCAAGACACCTTGGATGATGATCACAAGTTGATCTACCAGCATGCAGTGCAACGGCTTGCAAAAATCTATGATGACCCTATGCACTACATCCACCAAAAAGCACCGAGGCACCAGGGCAAGCAAACCAAACAGCACAAGAGAGATCTTGCGAAGCAACGCAATAAAGCCTGGAGCGCCAACCATCACAGGTGGGAGCCTCACAGAAGCGGATACCAATGCACGGCATGTGGTACCAGAATGCACCAAGGCTTGACAACAAGCATCCTGGAAACCAGGCTTCACGAAGACTGCCCACAAGTCCTCATTGAAGACATCCGCAATACGCCACCAAGCCAGGCTGCCCTTGCCCAAGAAATCCACCCGAGGTCATCAAAGACCTGTTACAACAGCAGAAGGAGCAACAACCAGCACCTGAAGAGCACAGCTTCACAGAGACGACCGGCTACCTCAAGCGCACTAAATGTGGAATCAACATCCACAAACGTGTCAATGAAGCAGCCTTCCAACAATTCATCACAAGCCAATGTGTGGATCAGGCCTTCACTCAAGCACATGACGGCCATCACACCCACAACCTTTGGCAAAAAGGAGATCGAGTCCGATGCACCCAGTGTGGGATGCAATGGCATCTTGATGGGCAAAAATGCATCATCACCACACAGGCTTTCACCAAGCCTTGCAAAGGAGCAGGCCTCAAAGGCTCCCCACCTCTTAGCGAGTTCTTCAAGAAGAAGGGTGAAGCTGCTAGTTCCTCTGCAGAAGAGCGTAAGCCTTCCCTGCAGGCAACCGAGCATGTGCAGCCAGCTTCCGCCAGGCCAACACCACGCAGGCTGCACTTTACTACGGAACTTGATGAACGAGATGAGGTGAGCTCCAACTCGAAAGATGAAGAGGAAGACGGTCAAATGACAGTCGACTACTTCTGAAGTCTTCAACGAACTCCACGAGAGCACTTTGAGGACAAGAAGCCCTACTGAGACACCGGCCACCCTGAGGCAACAGACCTAGAGACAAGGCCACACGAGCCATCGCAAAACTTCAACTCTAGAATACATGCATGCATACATACATACATACATACATTACATAAAATTACATTACATTAATACATCAATACATTATAAAATACATACATACATACATACACAGACATACAAACATTGCATACATACAAACAAACATGCATACATACATACATGTAACTCATATAGCAAGCTCTGTCCTGAAGTCTGCTGTCGGCAGTCAAACCTGTCGTGGATGCATGCATCACTGGATGTCAATGTGAAGAACCCGCCGTCCCTACATATCTCATTCCCACCTGTCTGCATTTCATCCATTAGCCCTTTGAGTCTCTCCACCCATAGTGTATGACCTTTGAAGAAGAGCGCATCCTGGAAGGTTGCGCAAAAGAAGCAACCATCTTGCGCGCTTGCATGTGACCATGTGACTTGCTGTTGGGTATGTTCACGCCTTGTGGAGCCCCATGTCCAAGTATCCAAACATCAAATCTTCCACGATGTATACCCCTCCAGGCGCCAAGTGCGGCCAAAGCGATTCAAATGCCTCCAGCTGCATTCGTCCTACATGGCTCCCGTCGTCAATGATGATGTCAAAGGGAGGCACCGATTGAATCAGCTCTGCCCAAAATTGAGGGTCCTCCTGGTTTCCAATCCAAATTGAAGTGCGGTGATCTTCAAGCTCACCTCCATGGCAAAACAGCTCTGAAAATGCCAATAAGCAAATGTACAGTAGAAATCCGGAGGTCCTCTAGAAAGAACCCTGCTTGCACAGGTATCTGCCTCTCATCCCCGAAAAAGGACAGCAATCAACGCCAGTGATGCGGAGACGAGGCCCAAAGTAAGCCTGAACGGGAAATTGGCACAACAGCGACACGAATTTGCACAACAGCAACTAGCAAGTGTTGCCTATACTTCATTCTGTATGAGTGTTTCAACATCAATATGGCTTTCCAAAAGAAAAATATCCCGGCAACAAGCGCCAAGCTATGTTCCGAAAAAAAGGGTGGATAAGGGAACTTCCCCACACTAGAGTCACTAGAGCACACATATGGGAGAAGAACAGAGCACACAATTATGAGAGCACTCCGCCAAACGCACCACCACCCAAAGGCCTAGGCGCAAAAGAATCTTGGGTAAAACGAGCGGTCACCCGCTGCGTCTTAAATGAGCCCAGGTGCACCACAAATTGCAGGTACGACGCTTATAGCCATCATAGCTCTCTCACCGTTGGCCTCTTCGTTGGCCATCCACCAATGGTGAGAGGGACGGCCCTCTGCTTTGCAAGATTAGCGACAAGAAGTCAGACCTGGTGAGCTCAGCCAAAGTTTTCCAAAAGGTTGCAAAAAGCAGGCAACAGCCCCGAACTTTGCACTTGCCTGCACTTCTCTTCTCTTTGCTTCAAAGGCCAAATGGCCCCCTATGACTCCAAGGGTTTCACACACACGCCCAGTGTCAGATCTCAGGTCCATGCCAAAGGTAACGCCCGTGCCAAATGTGTCAGGAGATGACAGGAGAAAGAAAAGAGGAAGGAGGAAAGACGGCGGAGTAATAAGGTAACAGGTCGCCCCGCAAGCCTGAATGTCAGAAAGAGAGGAGAAAGGAGAAGGAGGAAGGAACAAAAAGTCGGCCAGGCAGAGAGGCAGAGAGAGAAAGAGAGAGAGAGAGAGATAGAGAAAAATAATATGCCATATGTGCCCCCGGTTGGGGGTGTTGAAAGCGCATGCGCGCACAAAATTGACAAGCGAAAGGACATGAGAGAAGGACATGCAAACGGCACGTGATGTGCGCCGAGGCACTGAATACCAAGTGACCAGGGACAAAAACATGAGCCAAACCTCATTAAGAAAATCTGGGGCACATATCAGCCTGGTTTCAAGTGCAGGTAGATGCGCACGTATGCGTTAAGATCCGAACCGATGCGCGCGCAAGTGAGGAAAAGGCAAAGGAAGAAATGGCGAGTCATGACACGAAGACGGAGGGGCATGAAAGCAAAGCAGGAACGGTGCGTAGTTGCGAGCGAAGGGGAAAATAAATGGAAGGGAACAACAAGACCAAAAGCCCAAGCCTCATCAAAGCACCTGGGCGACCGTACCTAGCTTGGTATGTTTGTGATAACTAGGGTCCAGCCGAGTGCACTTCAACTTTGAAGCTTCGACCGCTACAGTCTGCTCTGCCTGCGTAACGCTAGCTCCTCGTCCGCTATGGACACCTTCTGGGATAAAAGCTTGTTTAGTCAATACCATGTCGTCAAGTCTTAATCAACCTTTGCCTCCGCAACGCCGGCTCCTGCGTCCGCTACGACTCCTGTTGTCCCTTAACCGCAACTGCTTCACCCCCCAGTTCGACTGGGGCCACAAAGGACACTACTTCGGGCTCACTGCAGGCTCTCAAAAATCGAGAGACACGCTCAAGATAAAAGATCGTGCAAAGGCCGCCGAATGCACCGCCGAGGCTCCAATCTCCTACACCTGCCACGAAAAGTCGACTTCAACTTCAGAACATGAGGATTCCCTCGCGCCTGCCACAAAAAGTAACCACCAAGCCCAAAATGTGCACCATTAATGAAAGAGTGTTGACGCACAAAGGCAATCCCCTGATCAGGGTAAAAATTACCTAGAGTCCCTGGGCGCTCTTCTCTTGCTTGTTCCCTGTCCTAATGGATCTAGATGTAGGATCTAATGTGTCTAGGCACGCTCCGATGTCCTCAGGCCTTCCACATTTGCAAAGAGCCACCACTAGCAACACCAATCTCCAGCAAATGCGACTTTTTGCCACGAAAGTGCTGCAAATGTCGGTGGTACAAGTCAAAGTAGTGCGCGTGCTTCATAGTCAGCAAGCCCTGACAAAGAATGCCAAATGTCAAATACATTCGGCAAGTGTCTTCAACCAGTGCAGCCCACCATAGCGAACCATATCGTACTACACATACTGTCCCGTATCGTACCATCATGTGTGTGTAAATATATATAATCATCCTGGAGTAGATCGAATGGACGAATTTTCAAAAAATAATTCACTCCTCAAAACCGGCCCTTCCAAACCCCATAGATAGAATATGGTTGTAGGGGCTTCTCTTCCTTTTCCTTTGTTGTCCTTTTCCTTCTCTGTTCGTTCTATTTTCTGTTCGTTCTAAAGAAAAGAACAAAGGAAAGGACAGCTTAGATAATACACATGGCAACAGAACATAAAAATAACAAAGGAGCAAATACCGGAATGGGAGGAGTTGATAAGAATCTTATCACTATATTCTATCTATAGGGTCAGTCTTCATAAAATGAAAGGGATGTCAAAAACCCTAAGTTTTTTCAAAAAGAAAAACACCCCCTACGAAAGTAGATTCTATCTACTCCAGGATGATTATATATGCAGAATTTGCAGTATTCGTATACCAAACCATACAAAAACGTAAAATAGCAACGCATTCTGTACCTTTCATACAGTCCAGACTTGAAGTTTTTGCGCTTACTGTGAACCGGACAGGTGGGCTATGGACTTCCAAAACAAGAACTGGTTTATAGTTTCAAACACACTGACATCAGTGCCCAGTCTAAGCTTCATCTCACAAAAATATATTCGCGTTGATTTAAAAGCCTCGCGGTGCGAGTCCCACCAATCCACCAGCGGGTTGAACTCATCGGCCCACGCTGGAATTTCCCTTGACAAGTGCAGCCACTTTTGCACACGGACCTGCAAGTGTTCAAAGAGCGTTTTGAAGCACAGGGCAGCCTTGCTGCTGCTTTGGTTTCTCCAAACATAATCTCCTTTTTTGGTCCACTCTGCACCTGGTCACTGGCAAGCACGAGATCCCCCGATTGAAGGGCTGCCGTCAGTCGTATTTGACCATCCAAAAGCTCGAGTGGGAGCCTTGTTGCAAGGGGACAAAAATGCAACCGGACAATTCCAAAAGGAATATGTTTTAGGCCAGAAATGTTGCTGCTGGAGTGATGGGAGGCGTTGCGTAATCCTGACTACACTCCACACGTGCATGTTCGTACCAAAATAGAGTCACGCTTGAGATATATATATATACATATATATATATATGTATACGAGTTTCATTCATGAAGGGGTATTTGTGCCCACGCTTTGGCAGCCATCTTCAGGTCTTGCAAGAAAGTCCGCATCTTATATTATGCCATCATGAAGTCTGATAAAGCTCCATGTGTGAGTTTCTCTCTTGTCTTCGCGCCCAAAAGGCCCGTCAATTTTCCCATAGCCTGTCCATTTCACAGTGTGGGTCAATTCGTTCTAGGTTCCTTTTGCTGCATCACAAACAAAATAGACCTGCAACAAGTTGTCATAAAGCCGCATCGAGTTTGAGGCCCTTGCTGTGAGGCTTGAACGTTGCAAGCTGCAAAGGATTTACACATTGTTGGCACCACCAAACCTTCAAATCCTCTACATCAAAACTCTTCAAAAAACTTCCAAAATCATGAAGAACCTTCAGCAATTCACAGCCCAACAGCTACAAATGCCCTCCATAGCTCCACAACCCTCAGTCACGATCGACTCAGTTTGAGGTGCTCGAAGAACACATGGCCAGATCTTCGAAATTTTTCGCAGAATGAGAATTTCCTCGCAAAGCTCTCCACCTCCAAAAACCAAAACAAACGAAAACCAAAGCGAGACAGTGAACAACAAAACTGACACGGACACGGCCTGAATGCAGATGGCCAGATCAGATTCAGAGTGATTGCCTCACAGAAATGGGGCAAACATTTTATAACAGAACTGAATCCTTTCGTGATGACACGGCTTTTGGCAAACAAGAAAACGATGTCGAACGCCTTACATCAAGTCAGCTGCAAGACTTCAGCCAAGTGCTCAAAATTGGAAGTCCAAACCAAGGTTCCCACTGAAAGCCATGACCTCACACTTGAGATGACTACGTGAAGGCACTTCCTTGAAGTCAGTCGGCTCTACCCAGTGAATTGACCTTGGATCGGCCACCCAATTCCTCAACACATCCATGGATTGATTGCAAGTGGGTGAGTAGTTATACTTCCCAATGCAGACACATGTAAATTCAATAATTGAGCTAGTAGCCCAAACGATCCTTCCAAAACGCCACAACGATTCAAACTTCAAGATTGCAAAACATACACACTTATGGATACGCGTACTGAATTGAAAGCCACTCGCCACACTCCCACCTAGGTATGAACGCCTAAGATTACCAAGAGTAAGTCCACGAAAAGCGACACTCGGCGACTGAATGACGACGGTACGTGCAAGTCTGCGGAGTTCAGTGGCACTTTACATCAAAGCAAGGGAGGACCAGTGGAGTCAATGTGTTCAAAGCAGGTATGTCAAATCGGCGTCCCAAGTTGATATCACAGACCAACGCAGGCGTCTTTGTTAGTGCCAGACTTGCATGGTCCCTGGCACCCCTTGCTCTTTATTCAAAAACAAATCTAAAAAGATCCCTATAACTCTAAGGGTTACCCCTGCTCTTTATTCAAAATACACAAACAAATCCAAAAGGATCCCTGTGACTCCAAGGGTTACACACACCAACAGCTCGCGTGATTCACTTTTCGATGCACCACAAGTTGCACAAACCACACTCCCTTATCCTCGCCTTAACCACTGGGGATGCGTTCAGAACAGCTGAGCTGCCGGGTAAGATTTGGAGAAAATGCATCCAGCACTCAACTCTTTACACATAAGCAACTTGTAAGAATGTAAGACTCACATACCAATTCAACTCTCTCAGGCCACCGCACCTCTCCCCGCCACCACGGTAGGGGGGCCCCACCAACCCGCGTGTAAAGGCAGTGACGGGCAACAAAACCCACTCACTCACACAACTGCGCCCGTTTGTTTCTTCTCCGCTTTCAATAGGCATCATTACTCATTACTGCATAGTGGATTGTTTTCGACGCGTCGCCATTTGCACATACAACACTCCGTTATCTTCGCTTCAACCACTGAGATGCGTTCGGGACAGCTGAGCCGTCCGATCATATTTGGAGTAGAATGCATCCAGCAGTGATGAACGTACACATGAAGTCAGCACTTCTCCCCGCGGTTTGCGGCCAAGGCCCGCTTCAATCACTGCACCCCGAAGCGCTCGAGCAAGGTCCTCCCGTTTAAGAGGTGTTGCTGGAATCATCTTGTAATCTTGCACCAACGCTTCAACAAGCATGTTCCTGCTAGCCCTTTTCGTTAACAAAGAACAAACGCCCCCCCCCAACACACTGCCTCTTCACGCTCACCACTTCTGCTTGCGCAATGACACGCTCATCCACTACTGACTAAAGGCCAACAGGCGCAAAATCAACCAGTTTCCCCAATCGCTACTCCACACGAAGCAACATTTGTGAATGGGCAAATTCTTTGTTAAGAGATTGGCGAACAACCTCAGGGCAGCAACCAATCTCGGGGACACTTCACTCTGGTTGACGAACAGGAGCTGGCCATCTGCCACCCATCCCTCCTCAACTGGTCCACCTCATCAAGAGGAAAAGAAGACACGCCTATACCTCTGGCCTCTGGCCACCTAAAATCTTTGCGCCCAGCCTAACCTAGTGTTCCGCTGCTCGGCTTTCGTCACCATCAGGCTTGGCTGACTCTTCGCCCTCTCCTTCAGGAACTTCCTTGGCAGCACGTTTGGCCCACTCTTCAGAACCTTCCTGCACAGCCCTTCTCCCAGCGCATTACCTGGGACTTGGGTCTGTGGTACTTCTGCTTCTGGTGCTCGCTGGTGCATGAGCATCGTCCTGGACATCCGTTGCGGCCGCATCACGCGCTCTCCTGGCCATTGCAACCTTTTCAGCTCCCGCCGTCGGAGAACTTGACCTCGGCACTGCATCATCACCAGCTACATCGGCTGCCCTCACAGCTGTCAGTTCCTTGAGCCTGTTCGCCATCTCCTGGATATTCGGATAGTCTTCATCTGGAAGTTCGCTTTCTCGTGGTCAACCACGATCAAGTCACCTTTCTGAACGCCCCCCGGTCTCACGTGAAGCTCCTCTTCTGATTTCTAGCTTTCCTTTTGGTGACACTGGGCTTGCCCAGCCACCATCCCCCTTGAGAGGGGCTTTGTCATCCATCAGCTCTAATAGTCTAAACTTGCAGCCAAAATGGCTCACTGTGTGCAACCACTCACTCACCTGTTTTCCTTCATTGTTGCTACGTAACGTAACGGATTGCATTTCTATTGGCCTTTGTGCGTGTTTGTCACACCATTCTTGCTAGCGAGAATGAACAGGTCGCGGACTTTTAAAAAAATGTCCATCGATGATTAAAAAATGTTCAACGACCATTGGTGTGGATGATTGCCTTAGACGCACTCCACGTTAGACAGACCGCATGACTTCCATCAATCTAAGTATGATAAGTAGAAAGACCCAAAACTTCGTTGCAGCTCAAGCAGCTTATCACACAGTAGTAGCCTCCAAAACTGTACAAAAATGAATCGCCAAGAGGACATTGCGATTGACGTTGCACAGCTGATGACAAGCTCCTTCTAGGGATTTGCCAGCCCATGAGATCCAATATAATTCGCCATTTTGTTGCACTAGGTCACTAGTCATGCCAAATGCTTTTAATATGTCAACAAAGGCCTATGAAGCGCTGGAGCGACAAAAAAGGAACTTTACTTCAAAACCAGCCATGTTGAGACCATTTCAGATCAACTTGCCTTGTCTGTCCTCTTTCTTTGTGCACTTGGCACTTGGTCAAGAATTTGCTGCAACTTCGTGAGACATTCGTGACATGCATCCTTATTTTTGGAAGGTCTCCAACCCCTGGGATTCAAGCTCAGCAAATTTTGATAGTGATCTGCCTCATGAACAGCTTGTTTCTGCCCGTAACCAGTGAAGAGTTCACACTCCTGATCCAGCTCCATATACACATCTCCCTTGACCAGCTGGCAGAAGCAAATACATTCTGAGGGCTCGACCTGGCTCAACCCTCAGCAGCAGAACCATGCCGCGACGGAATGCGCCTGTACTTCTTGAGCCTGCAGCTGCAGTGGTTTGTTGGCAACTGCTTGGATCAAAGCGGCCCACGGCTCTCACGCATCTCTACAAAAAATCACATAGAAGTCACTTGCACTTTTTCATCTGTTGAAGGACTGCAAAGGCCTTGCGTCTCCCTTGGGGAGATTACTCCTTTCTGCATGTACGTCAAAGCCGATTTTACCGACTTTGTCTGACAAACTTCTCCGCGCAAATTACTGCGGCGAACAAAACTGTTCCGACCCAAATGTCACACTCAAAACCAATTGAGCGAGGCTCAAGTCTTTCATTGAGAGGAGCTCGCCCTTCTTCGCCTCCAAGTCTTGAACTAAGGTGGTCTCAAAGTCAGGCAAAAAAAAACGATGGACTTAGACTCTAGACAACAGCTGGCTCATCCCAACATGCATGTCTAGTCGGCCAACTCGTTCGCTTGTGTTGTCCGGACTCATGGGCCAAGGTGATGAAGCGACTCGTGGCTCCGAAAATGCTGCTTCTTGTTCCAAGGTGCCTGGATTCTGTTGGCAAACTTGTGTTACTCAAGGTCTCAACCAGCTGGGAGATATATCGTACTTTCAAGCTCATGGCAATAATATCACCTGGCAGGGTCCAAAGGTTTCACACGAGCGAAGGTACACTGAACTCAAATTATGCATATTATATATATATATATGTCCCCCAAACTCTCTTCTCTGAAGCAGCGATGCATCCTTTTTACAGGAGCACCTCACAGTTGCTTCAGTGAGGCCAGCCGTCATGGCTAAACCTCAGGTGAAACTTCTCAGCTGCTAGCCCTCAAGAGAGCTGTCTGACCATCTTGCATGGCCAGACTTGCCAAGACCATCTTGTATGGCCATTCCTTCACCTCTTGCAGGCCTCACCATTCCACGCCAGGCCCCGGAAAGCACGCCAGTGCAGATGGGGGGCAGCCAAAGCTTCGAAGAGTAGGGGGACATATACTCGTAGCTCTACTTACGAAGAGGCAGAACTCATTGCAATGTCCCCCAAACTCTCTTGCATCCTTTTTACAGGAGCGCCTCACAGTTGCTTCAGTGAGGCCAGCCGTCATGGCTAAACCTCAGGTGAAACTTCTCAGCTGCTAGCCCTCAAGAGAGCTGTCTGACCATCTTGCATGGCCAGACTTGCCAAGACCATCTTGTATGGCCATTCCTTCGCCTCTTGCAGGCCTCACCATTCCACTTCTGCAGGGCGGAAAAAAGGACTCACCCCTTCCGCTTCCTGCCTTCCTGGCGTAGCCGCAAAAACCTCAATCGCCAAGTGCGAATCCTGGACGGCTGGGTAGAGGAAAGTTGACCTGGGCCAGTTGGCAGGTACCTTCATCAATGTACTGCTTGGCAGTTTTCCCACATGGCCACCTGCCACGCGCGATAGTGGCATCCAAGCTGAGTGAACTCTGAAAGTACCATGTAGCCCCACCCCTACGCAGGCTGTAGGGGGTATAATCATCCTCTGCGAAGCCCAACTGCTGAAGAAGCGTGGCAAACAGTTGGCGAAACCGGTGTGGACCCTCGGACCAAATGAGGCCCTTCTCTCTGGGTTGAAGGATGGAGGCAGCATAGGCAATTAAGCTCTCGTCCAGCACCAAAATCACTTGTGGATTGCCTTGGGAAGTCTTGCTGCCTGGGATAATGATGCTCATGCCACGGCCTTGCCGGTGAAGAACAATGTGTTGGTGGGACAAAGAAAGTTAAAGCCTATAGCTACCAGTGCAAATTCGCGGTAACCTTGTACATGAGCCAGGCCCATCATGGCCTCCACCACCAATTCCCAATGAGCTGGGACTGCCCGAGAGGGGACATAGCAGCGCTGCCAGTTGCGAAAATACTGGCCTGCAATCGGTAGCTCCAAGCGCAAGGAGGGGTGAAAACGCTTCAGTGCCGACAAGAGGTGACCCGAGTAGCTCATTGGCTCTCCCTCCTGGTAAGAAAGGTCGATAAATTCAGCAACCTGTTGGTCCAGCCGATGTGGCTTGGAGATGCTCAGCCGTCGCCGGCGTACGAATTTGAGAAAACGATCCAAAGCTGTGCGGTAAGCTCGAAGTGTCCTCGGGTGCAGTCCCGCGTACTGCAGGCTCTTCTTGTTACGTTTCATGGCTTCTGCTTGCCTTGTCCGCAAAGTTCCATCGACTGATCCAGAGCGGGAACATGTAGTTGTCCATTGCAAGCATGTAGGCACTACACCTGCAAGCCACTTTGTTGAGCCGCCGCGAACTGCTTCTTCCCTTTGCCAGGACTCCTCGGGAAACCATCGAGTCCAACACGTGGAAAAAGCGAAGGTGTTGCTTGGATCGTGTACGGGCTCGCCTCTTCAAAAAGACGGCCACCGCCAGGAGTTAAAATTCATTGATATGGGCCTCCTGTCGCCATGCATAGGACATGATTGTCCGCCACTGCCATCTCATGGCCAAATACGGTTGCTCACGCATTTGCCCTTCCAGCTCGAGGAACGTTCTCACATCTGTTCCTCGGTAAGTGGCATGCCTCAGGAGGGCTGCCAAATGCTCTCGCTCCTGGCCCTTCTCCATGTATCGCTCCTTCAAGGCCAAGCTCTCCGCCATGGGGGCTGCCACGTCTGGGTCTGCCAGACGGTTAGTGGCCAGCGCCATCTCCTCCAGGAAGTGAGCTTCTCTTGCCTCGGCCACCGCTGCATCAAACTGACCATCAGCTTCAATCTGCTCCCGAACTGCCCTGGCGTATGCCACACACATCTCCCATGGATACTCAGCCTCCTCCTCAGTGTCAAAGCGGAGGGTTCCGTCCGGGAGCTCTTCAACTTCATAGGAACGAAGAGCAGGGTGGCCCGGGCAGTCCATTGACAGGTGCCTCTGGAGCGAAGGGAGATCGCTCAGGATGGCGAACCACTTCACCCTCTCGCCGCCAAAGCAACAATGCGAGGCAATGGAATACCTCATCTCCGGCCACTCCTCCATCTCCTTCACCAGCCGGAATTCCCACATCCATGACCGCCGGGGGTGGACCTGCAAACCTCTCTCCGAACTTTGGAATCCTCCAGGTCCTCCTTGGGCAAACCTCGGCGCCTTCCCGATGCGTCAACACGCACGAGAGTGAACAGAGCGTTGCGCCACACACCGCTGGACCCGGGTAACGGTCATGCCCTGGGATGTCTTTCCCGCATTGTGCGCATACTGCCGGATCCCGCTCAATGGTGCACGGCGCTGGCTGGAACTCAACAGCGGTCGCAGCCCCGCCCCCGGTGGGTGACGCATCTGTAACTGACACCCCGGGGTCGACTTTTGCCCTCAAGTTTGTATACATAAGCGGGGTAAGCAGCACCATGACCGCCACCTCATCCCATGCGTCTTGACGAGGTACCTCACGATCGTTCTGCGATGCCCTCTCGGCCACCTCTTCAAACACGTTCTCCAGGATGGCAAAGAGTGGCCTTCTAAAGCAACACCCGAAGGTTGCCTTCCCTATGAAGTGCCTCAGCTCGGCCTCCCACCACTTGTCTTTGGCCAACATGGTGGCTCCAAGGGTGATGACCTTGACCATCTTCTGAACCGATAGGCCGTATCTTCCGTCTTCACCGTCTAATTCGCCCCCTTGAAGAGCCCCCAATGTTGACGCCACCAGCCTTTTGCCCTCGTTCAGTGGCAACGACAGCTTCTCGCATACTCTCAGGAAGCGCTCGTGTCGCTCTGACATGCCAGCAGCCATCACCTCTTCACAGCCTTTCCTGAATTTCCTCAACTGGTCATATGAATCCAGATAGATCACCGTCAGATCCTCATCTGCAGGCACGGGCTGTGTCTTGGCGACCTCAGACTCCTGTGGGATGTCAGCTTCCTTGAAGACCAAAGTCCTCACTATACTCTGCACCACTGCCACGCTACTGACCCAGCCCATGGGCAGCACCGCCATAGCTGGGTACACCTTCTTGCCCTGTTCACCTCCCAGCAGGGACGCATCGACTGGCTTCTCAAACGCCATGAACTTGTGCCACACCGAGGGCAATCGGAACAGGTTGAAACAACTTGTGAAATCCTCTGAGTCCACCAGCCAGACTTCCTCCTCCCCTTGCTCCAGGAGGGTGAGCTGCCCCAAATAGGGCAGGAGCTTGTCATCGCCCTCCAGGCGGTCCTGAAACATGTTGCTGGGGATCAGGTTACTGATGAAGCGCTGTGCGCTGATCACTTGACCATCCACCTTTTTCTCCTTCTTCGCCGCTCCTGCTCCATTCAGGACTGGGCGCCCTTTCTGATCCTTGAACACCTCGTCCATCTCAACGGCCACCATCAGGCCTCGTTCATACGCTGCCCTGACCGCTTTGCTCCACTCCTCATCCGATGCCTTCACTCGCGACTGGCGGGGCTCCGACGGCCACTCATGCACCGGCTTGAGGCAGGATGCTGGGTCCAGCAGCTTCGCCTTCAGCTTCTCGGGCAAAAAGGTCAGGGCATCCTGAACAGCCGCCTGACCCACCTTCGGCCAGGCTGCAATGACTTTCTCCGCCCTGATCTCTTCCATTGCCACCACAGGTTCTCCCTAATAATCGAACCGCACAGTGGAGAGATGCTTCACTGTCTCCTCAAACCGGCCACACTTCATCTTGCGCTCCTCAACGTAGTCCAGAGCTCTCCTCAGGTGATCCACGGTCAGCTTCTGACCTTGTGTCAACTCCTTCTTGAACTCTGACATCGACCAACCGCCTTGACCTTGCGACTGAGCCAGATAGTTCAACGCACTCACCATGCCAGCCACCCCCTGCGCCCGAAGCTCGCCTGAAGGATGGAGGTAGGCCAATGCAGCTTGTGGGTTAATGGGCAGCAGCTCATCGCCTCGCACTGACTTGGAGGACTTGTCCTCAGGAGGTGCTCCTTGTCCAGAACCCAACTGCACTAGGCGACTCAGCGGCGTCTTCTTGCTCAACTGGTGACCGCTCCACAGCGAGAAAACCCTTCAGGCCACCTGTTCTCATGGACACAGGGGGTTGGGATGGCTCTCTCAGGGGTTCGTCGGCCTCTAATCCTTCTTCTCTTTCTCTTTTTCTCCTCCTTTGCCTTTTCCTCTCTCTCTGCCTTTCCGGCCGCCCTTCTCTTGACTTCCTTTTCCGTCTTTGCCTGCCCTCGGGGTGCTGTACCCCTTCAGCTTGAGGTCCAGGAGGTGTTCTCGGTTCATGAACACCTCCTCGTCTCTCTCCAGCAGGCCGCCGGAGTCTGGGCCTAGCAGCTCCATGGAACTGCGCTGCCTGCCAGTGGCCGTCGTGGCAGCTCTTCTCGATGGCCTTCAGGCGCTGACCCAGGACATCGGCCGCATGGGCTGGAAGCTTCCTCGCTAGCATGTCGAGGGCTGCGCACAATGTCCTCGTCTCCCTGTGAGCTCTCATCCCCAGACGCTGACCCAACTGCGGCACGATCATGGTGTGGAAGTAGTGCACTGCTGATGGCGGGGTCAGCTCTCCTCGGTCGGCTGGATTCGCCCCCACACCCCTTGGGCTCCTTCGACTTGCATCTTCAAGAGCAACCTTGAAGCCAGTCTGCCCGGTGTTCTCTTGGCGTACTGCATCAACTTGAGTTGGTTTGATGCTTTTGGGACTGCGGGGGCATCGCGAAAAACCGCCTCCGACTCGCTGGAAGACTCACCGTGGTACCTGACGATGTCTCCTCCACCAAAGGGCCCACGGTCTCGCCGGCCTTTCTTGCTCACAGCCGCGCCTTTCTCTTCCACTCCTTCACCAAAGAGTCCCTCCTCCTCATCGTCACTGTAGGAGGAGGACTCTTCGACCGCCTTCTTCTTCTTTGCCACGCGTGCCTCTTTGGCCTTTTCAGCCTCGGCCCCAGCCTCCTTTCGCTTCTTTCTTCCACCTCCTGAGGAGGGTGAACCTTTCTCCTTAGGCCGCTTCTTCTTGGCCTTAACCTCGCGATCCAGTCTCTTCTTCTTCTTTGCCTTCTCCTTCTTTTCCTTTGAACTGGTCCCTTTAATGACCTCCTTTTTGCCCGACAACTCACGCTCCAGCCTCTTGACTTCATCACGGGCCTTCACCAGCTTAGCCTTGAGGCCCTCTTTGACTGGAGCTTCACCAGAGGACCCTTCTTCATCTTCTTCAGAGTCCTCTTCACCTGGGTCGACCCAGGGTAAAGCAGCCTTTGGGTCCTTCTCCTTTGGGTTCATGCCCTTCTTCTTCAGGAACTCCATGAGGGACTTTGAACCTCCCTTCTCAAAAGCCCAGGCTGGCACCCGGTTGTTGATCTCCTTCTGTGTGAGCACACGGAACTTTTCCACGTGGATTGAAGCTCCACGACGGGTGACCTTGCAGTCATGAGACGACTCCTCGCAGAAGTGGTATGCACACTTGGCTGCCAACTTCTTTCCTTCGCCCTCAGTCATCCACCACTGCATATGGCTGTCGCTCGCGCCAAGGTATTTGGCGGTGACCCAGTGGCCCTGATCATCTGTCGACAGGGCAGCCACGATCTCAAGGATGATGGTGCCCTGCGCATGCCCTTCGCCATCTCGAATGGCGCTCTCGACCACCTGGCCGGGCTTGAACCGGTGGCCATACCACTTCACATTGGGGTGGCAGGGGGGTAACACAGTTGCCCTTCAGCCAAAGCTTCGAAGAGTAAGGGGGGACATATACCCGTAGCTCTACTTACGAAGAGGCAGAACTCATTGCAATATAATGTTGCTTTCCTGAGATGCCACTGCCAAGTATCCAAGAAAGAAACCATTTAAAAGCTTTTGTGTCCACAACCGAACAGGCTATTGGTACAAAGGTCGGCATAAGAAGACCCTGGCCTTTGGTGACGTGCCCTCGCACGCTCATAAGACCGGAGATCAACTCATCAACATTCAGAAGCCCTCCAGAATCAGCGTCCAAAATGTCAAACAACTGGGTACCTTAGTGAAGGACCGAATTTTGACAACACAAGAATGTTGTGCTTTGGTAAACATGCAAACCCATAGGTGTCTTCTTGAACATCTTAACTGAGCAAACAAGACGGACCAAGGCTTGAACGGATTGACGTGTCAATGCCAGCTCTCTCTAGCACGGCAGTGAACGAATCGTGTTCCAACCACTTTGAGAATCGGTCCCTGGTCCTTAAGACAATTCGGACAAAGATGTAAAGTGTTTTCCTCCTGCTTGAATGCCTTTGACCTTTGGAGTGTGTATGAAAAGGTCAAGGCCCTCGCACAGTCAAATCCAATCTTGAAAGGATCTTGTCCATGGCCTGACTGAGGGGAAGTGGGCAAAGAGGCATCACACATAGTTTGAACACATCGCACCATGTTGCGTTTGCGCCGAAACAAAGGTTATCAGTTGGTGTGTTGATAGTAAACATGTCGCACAATAAGCACTGGAGAAAATGGCCTGACAGCATGTCACCTTCAGTCTCACACCAACAAAATTTTACAAATTATAGAAGTTTACTGTAACCTGAGATCCGTTTCCATCCAGATTACAAGAATTGTTGTGACCCAGTTTGCTTCAGTTTTTTAATGCTTCCGAACGCGGCCTTGCACTGATGTTTCATGTCAAGTGTGTGCAGATCATGCGGAATGTCAACAGGCTGGTCTTCGAATCCTTAGAATGAAGTTGCAATAGGGCAACAGCTACAACCGAGTGAGCCGCAGTAGGTGTGAGGGTAATCAACCGTGTGGCCTGCAAGTTGTTTACCGTAGCTCGGGTTGTCTCTGAATTTGAATGAACAAAGTTTACTCCACACATCCATGCTGCCCAGGCACCAATGATGTCAGCAATGGCCCGCCTGAAAAACCATGTCAAGTCGCAGGACTGATGATGAAAAAGTTTGTGCTTCCACAAATCCTGGTAGTACTTTGGGGAATCACATCACACTGAGACCTGAGAAGGGGGAGACACAAAAAGCCCGCCCGCGGCGAAGGTGCTGAGGCGGTTTGTCGGTTCGCATACGCAGGCTAAAATTGTTAGATAGTATATGTGAAGCTTTAGCTTTGGGGGGTGCGGGGGGTGCATTTTTGTTTTGAATACAATGTTTTTATTTTTAAAAAACGGATAATTATTGACATCGTGCGCACGCTTGTCCGTGCGGCTTCGGAGCTAGACATTAGCGATGTCGGCCACGCAACCCGAGGCAAACTGCATTATTGACCTCGCGCGTGGGTGTGGGTATGCGCCCCTTGAAATCACAGGGATCCATTTGGAATGCGCTGCCTGTCGCTTTACCTTCTTTTTCGCTAGCAGGGTAGCGGTGGGCATTCTTGAAGTCACCGCTCAACGAAGACACTTCAAGTTTTTGGGGATATGCAATCCGGACGCAGATTGCACGTAACTGCGCGAAGATGATCACCACTCATTTCCTTTTGGGCTCTCTTTGTCACTAGAACAAGAATTCCAGCCATCGCGCCTGGTTGCAGCGGCAGTCACGCACTTGTTTTGAGCTTGAAGTTTGAGCTTGGAGGTTTGCAGGGTTCTCGTCGCTTTGAGGGAAGTCATTTGGTGGTGCTTGCACCTGACACCTTAGGCGGTTTTACTTAGGCTGGCGTGTGGCACCGCATTCACATCCGCACGCATTTCTATAAGTGCGTCTGGCTTCGTGCCAGCCCAGGGTGACCCCGAAGAGTGGTCCCTGTGGACCCGTCGAATGGGTGTTCGTCTTTATCTCCCCTGCCCGGAGATGCACGTGCCCAGAGCAGGCGGAGTAGGCTTACGCCAAAGTTATTTGCCAAGAGTTGCTGAAGTATTGAATTCCAAGCTGGCTCACGCCTCTACGTGACCGCAGCGGTCCAAGCTGGCTTAACGCCTCAACGTGGTCAGAGCGACCAAAGCATCTTTTGAGGTTCGTTGGAACCTGTCGGAGGCAGGTCTTCCTAGGTCGTTGTAATGAGGTTTGGTTTCATCAGTTCCCGTCCCCTCCATTTGGTTCCCTTTTCATCCCTTCCCCCTTCACACACTTCTTTTTCCTCTCTCTTTTCATGTCTTCCCTTGCTTCATGTCCTGTCATCTCACTCCTTTCTTTCCCTTGCGCGCTCAACGGTCCGGGCCTTAGTTTGTACGCGCACATCCACTGTACACTTAGGTCTCAGGTCGCCCAGGTTCTGAAAATGAGGTTTGGCTCACTGTTCGTTCCTGTGCATCTGGTTCCCTCTTCATCGCAACCGCCTACACCTTTGTCCTGTCTTGTCCTCTTTTCATGTCTTCATCTTTTTGTCCTTGGTTGCGTGCACCTGTGCACACACGTCTTCACCTTAGTTTTCGCCTCCCCTCGGGGAGGCGTGTGCGTGCGCCCCTTGAAATCACAGGGATCCTTTTGGAATGTACTGCCCGTCTTTTTACCTTATTCTTTTGTTAGCAGGGGAGCGGTGGGCATTCTTGAAGTCACCGCTCAACGAAGACACTTCAAGTTTGCTTTGATATGCAATCCGGACGCAGATTGCACGTACCTGCGCAAAGATGATCACCACTCATTTCCTTTTGGGCCCCCTTTGTCACTAGAACAAGATTTCCAGCCATCGCACCTGTTTGCATCGGCAGTCACGCACTTGTTTTGAGCTTGAAGTTTGAGCTTGGAGGTTGGATTCTCGTCGCTTTGAGGAAAGTCATTTGGTGGTGTTTGCACCTGACACCTTAGGCGGTTTTACGCGTGTGGCACCGCATTCACATCCGCACGCATTTCTATAAGTGTGTGTGTGCCCCTTGTAATCACAGGGATCCACTCGGATTGCGCTTTCTTCTTCTTCATTTTGTTTTAAGCAGGGGGCTGGAGTGTGCTTCAGATGTCTCCAGCCAACGAAGACGCATCTGTCGCACAGTGATATAGTTCTGGGACGCCAGAACTACGTACCTGCCATTTTCAAACGGAATGGCACGAGGCTAAGCCCAGAACATCCTGACATGATTCCTAAGTAGCCGCAGACTTGCACGCTACGACGTCAACTTGTCGGTTCGTCGATCGGTTTCTTCCGCTTTGGGCCTCACTTCCTCTTGAAGACCCCCAGGCTCTTTAGGGCTTTTTTGGATCTTTCAGGATTTGGGTTTCTTAGGCTGGCGTGTGGCGCCGCTTTCAGTTCCGTACGCATATCCATAAGTGTGTTTGGCCTTGCGCCAACCCGGGATGAGCCCGCAGAGTGCCTCCCGTAGACCCGTCGAACGGGGGTTTGTCGAACGTATCCCCTGCCTGGATACAGAGCAGCTCGCAGCGAGCGTAGGTGGCTTATGCCTCAAGAACTGGGATGTTTGTCTCATTTTTGGAATTCCAAGTTGGCTCATGCCTTTACGTGACCGCAGCGGTCAGATCAGCCAGCCACTTCGGCAGGGCGCAAGGTGACCACAGCGGTCAAAGCCCATTTAAGGTTCATTGGAACCTGTCCCACTCTCAGGTGCACACACAGCGCATACAATCAAACGAGGCGAGGTCCCTAGGCGTTTCTAATGAGGTTTGGTTTCATCGGTTCTCGTCCCCTCCATTTGGTTCCCCTCTCATCCTTTCCCCTTCACACACTTCTGTTTCCTCTTTTTTTTCATGTCCTCCTGTCTTCATGTTTCGTCATCTCATCCTTTCCTTTGTTTGCGCGCACATCGGTCCTGGCCTTAGCGTGTACGTGCACATCTACAACCCAGTTTTTAGGTCGCCCAGGTCTCGACAGTGAGGTAAGGCTCATCGGTTGTCCCTGTGCATTTGGTTTCTCTTTCATCGCAACCACGCACACTTTTGCCCCGTCTCGTCCTCCTTCTCATGTCTTCATCCTTTTTGTCTTTCCTGCGCGCACATTTGCACATTCGTCCTAGCCTTAAGTTTTGCCTCCCCTCGGGGAGGCGTGTGTGTGTGCCCCTTGTAATCACAGGGTTCCACTCGGATTGTGCTTTCTTCTTCTTCATTTTGTTTTAAGCAGGGGGCTGGAGTGTGCTTCAGATGTCTCCAGCCAACGAAGACGCATCTGTCGCTCAGTGATATAGTTCTGGGACGCCAGAACTACGTACCTGCCATTTTCAAACGGAATGGCACGAGGCTAAGCCCAGAACCTCCTGACATGATTCCTAAGTAGCCGCAGACTTGCACGCTACGACGTCAACTTGTCGGTTCGTCGATCGGTTTCTTCCGCTTTGGGCCTCACTTCCTCTTAAAGACCCCCAGGCTCTTTAGGGCTTTCCTGGATCTTTCAGGATTTGGGTTTCTTAGGCTGGCGTGTGGCACCGCTTTCAGTTCCGTATGCATATCCATAAGTGTGTGTTCGTCCGCCCGTCCTGCCCGGCAGAGCTATTTTTGGGGAAGTAGGCGGTAGAGCTACCAAGATGGTGGAAAGCTACCAAGCTGAGACTCGGAGTACGTGGTATAGCTCAGCACGTCGTTTTCGCATCGTTGACTTTGATCGAGTCAATTCATATTTAAATCTAGAAGCTCATTGGAGACTATCAGGTGTACTGATGACCTTGTAATTAATTCTACTTCGGCTGCGGCAAAGTGTAGAGTAAGTAATGGCATGAACACAACAATACGAAGCAAACATATTCCACTCATGTACATAGTTGTTGTTCAACCCTTAGGGATGGGCGGCACTATGCTGTCTGTGAAGTGACAGGAGTGTATAACCCTTTTTCGTATATCTCAGGCTTGAAGAGACAGAGGAGAATATATATATATAATATATTAATTTGCCAAAGCACTGTATTGAAACTTGCGATTTGAGAGCAGTCTCGGCCAGCTCCTTTTGCTTTCGCAAGGTTTGTTGGCTCACCACCTTATGTGCAGTGTCTGCATCGTGTTCTTCAAATGTAAAGCTGCTCATGCCCACCTCATGTTCATCCACAACCTTCCGCGCTCAAGTATCCTCTTCTAAGGCTGCTGCATTGTCCAAAAAGATTGCCATGATCCTCAATGTGGACGCTGCGAACATATCAAACATTCGTAAAACATCCGTAGAGTGAAGTCCGCATCCATAAAACACAAAACACAAATGTTTTGCCAACCACAGGGAAGCATCAAATTGAAAATACCAACCTCAGCGTGGCATATTAAGTCACAGTAAGGCCGATGCTGCCGCTTCTCTTTCTTGAAATGACCCCCTCCTCTCATCGAAGACCAATTTCAATAGTGACTTCAATAGTCTTCAACAGAGTCACTTACACTATTCACCATTCAAACCCATTCAACATATCTTACCTTTGATCTTTAGTGCTGGGTGATGCATTTTCACTTCTGATTCCACGGTCAAGCGGCATTGACCAGCATGAAGACAAGAATGTAGGCAAGCATGAAAAGTCCTGACAAGCAAATGACACAATCTAAGCAAACACAGACTTCCACACCTAGATCTTCTAAGATTCTAAGGCTAAGGATTTGTTGACGCATGATTGCCTGCAAAAAATAGAACTACTCCACTCAGAAGTGTTGCCTCCAAGATCACCAAAAGTCTCGGTTCTCAAGTGTGCTGTTAAAGGAGTCCCATTGAATGCACTACCTCGACAAAGGTTGCTGTAAAGAAAAGTCCAGGCCCAGCACACTGCGCACAATTCTGCCAGCCAAATCAATCTCACTGGTTTTTCTACACCAGGGAGAACAAACTCACATTGAAGCTTTGCATTCATAGCTAAGGAGAGCACATCCATCAGTCCAGCATCCTCAAAGTAAGATGTCTGTTGGCATCAACGCATGCAGGACTTAACTAAAAAAGGTCGTCTCGAAATGAAATCTAGAGAATGTTGAAAAACACTCCAATGAAACAGGAACTGGGAAATGGAGGTTCCACACACCGGATCCCTGAGCCCAGCGCTGAAGATGGTGAACATGCTATCTGGCAAAGTCCTGAATTCGGCCTCGTGCAGCTTTCGACAATCTACTGGCTGAAGCATTTGGCCCAATTAAATGTGTGTGTGTGTGTGCAGCCTCGTTCTCAGCCAAGGTTGCCATGCCAATCCCGAAGACATACATGAGAAGAAATAGGAGCACCTCGGTTGGAGACAGCGCAAAGAAGGGCAACTTGCACCAACTCTGAGCAGGCCGACAATAGCCCAGAAGAGCACGCGCAAACCAGAGAAAACACCCAGAACAATCCTCAGTGTCAAGGCACACCCAGTAGAAAGAATCTGCAAGGGCACAAGTTGGGAGGTTTGCACAATAGTTTGCCAATTGCGGTGTGCTGAATGCCAACAATTGTGAAAGTCGAACACTACTACCGGCACACAAACCAACACTACAAGCCGCTCACCGCTTATTGCTTACCCTCCGAGCGTCGCCCGCAGCTCTGTGAAGAACTCAAAATGGAGTGTTCTGACAAGACGTAGCAAACGAGCCAAGCGTGCGACCTGCCAGAGCTCCATGATTTTCCAGGTTGTTCGTGACCAAGCTCTGCCGAAACCCGCAAGTTGGATTCATGGAAGACAAGCTAGGTCAGAGTGACCGGCATTTCGCTGTGCTTCCGCAGGGCTACAAATCTTTTGCTATTAAGTGAACCCTGGCTCGAGTTGAGTGTGTTCAGTCCAAAAGGAACGTGAAAGAGATGCTTTGCAAGATCAAAAGGTCCGCCACATGGTCCGCCACATCTCAAGGCCCGCCTTGATCATTGAAGCAGAGCCCAATGAAAAGTTCGCATCGGTCAGGAGGACCAAAAAGATCAATATCACGTCAGTTGTTGATAGGAGCAGACAGAAGAAATCAAAACAATTCCATCTGCACCAAGACGAAAAATAGTGCACACGTCAGAGTTCAAAAACGAACGAACTGAACTAATTTGGATGAAGCTCTGCTCGCTATCATGTGCAATGTGCATCACAATTGTGCGAACCAGCCCAAGCCCTTTCTTTCATGAATGGAAGTAGCACTGTGTGAGTACACATGAAGACTGCCGGTCTTGAGGCCTCCAATCAACACCTGAATAGTATTCCCGCCAGCCCAGAGTGGCAATTTTGTAGCCAAATTCAATGCCGTAACATATTGCCTGGGCTGGCAAGAGCTCCTCCCTCCACACAAGCAGGTGAGCCGCGAATTAAACCCTTTACGCCCCATTGCGAGTATACAGTACAAGCAGATCTGTCCACGGGCTCACACCCTAACTCCAGCTACCACTTCGGAACAGCTGCGACCCCCTTTCGATAATACGATCGAAAGAAAACCTATAAGCCTAATGGCCCTGTTTTTGAACCAGTGGTAAGCTGGTTGGCTAGAAATGTAAAAACATGTTCCTTCGTTTGCACTAGTTGGCAGCGCCTGGCAATTTCAGGGCCTTTTGAAAGCTCTCAAGAGAAATGATGCTCTTCAGAACTAGATCAGGCTTGATGTCAAATTGTGTCTTGCAGTATATCTCACCATATTGCAGCCGTTGCAGAAGTCTGCCTTCAAGAGAGGAAATGTCCCGACCCCAAGTTTCACCAAACTATATAATCCAAGATACCCTAGAGTAACAATCAAATGTTTCTTTACAAATTACAAGCCCTAAAGCTCAGATACAAAAATCAGCTCCACAAAGCCCCAGGCGATGTGCTCGGGTTGATTGTCTACAGCAATTCCCATTGCAAGAGTGTTCAACCTGCAAGCGAAGCCGTGTCTGCTAGACCACATTTTTGCAAAATCACAGAACCCATCTTGTCAACAAAACACCAAATTAGCAATCAAGCTTCACAAGTAAAGAAAATTATGTCGTCGAAGTCACATAATGACAACTGTGGGGCCATTTTCAACTAAAAATCGCTTCAAATGCACGATGTGTATTCCTCTTGCCGCCAGGCCTTGGTGCAAATGGAAATTCAAAAGGACCAATGACGTCTTAAGAAAAGAACAAAAAAGAACTAAATGTCTAAAAACAAAAAGAGTAGTTCAATAGTCCGCAAACAAGACACCTGAATTTGAACGAGAAATGGTCTTGGACTGTTGAAATCTGACATTTGCAGCCAATTGATTTTGCTTGGGAGGTTTGGCCAGGTAGTCCTTGCCAAACGCCTCTTCAAATTGGTCTTCCATGCACTCAGGTGGAGTTGTTTCTCGGAGTGCTACTGGGAGCATTGCAACCTTCTTCAGATTCTGCGCAGACCCAGGTGACTTTGCACCAAACTTCAACTCCGCATTCTCCCGTTCAAGTGCGCTTTTTTCCTCCACCAAATATTTTATTCGACCTTCCAATCGGTCGAAATCTTGAGAAATTTGGTTCAGCTGCGATCGGAAATCTTCAGCAAGGTGATCCTCAGCCAAAGCTAAATCGATGTGGACTCAAATTAGCGTCCTCCCCTAAAGCCCTTCACAAATAAGTCCAGGCACCAGTGATGCCATCGGCAAATATGATAAAGCAACAAAAGTTGTAATTGAAATAGGTTGTTTAAACGTGTGTTTAGGTGATCCAAGGATTTGGGTGCAGTAAATGTTGCTTCATCAAGAAACATGTGCCTCTGCAAGAACCCTGAACAAACTTTCAATGCACATTGTCTGGTTGAAATGACAATTTTCTGCTAGCAACACATAGCTGGGAGCCGGAAACAGCTAACACGCAGCAAACTCAAAAATTCAACTATGGGTTACAGTGCCTAGAAACATTGATAAATGTTGCGGACCATGCGACTGACAATTCTGGTGTTGCCGAAAACCCGTTCCACCTGTGGACTTGGCAGCATCGGAACTGCAATCCAAAGAAATAAGTTTCATGGTTCACATTTTGACTTTGACGGCAGGAACTTCATCAAAAATCCGTCAGACATGTGGCAATCCCTCGTATGGATGTCTGACTGTTTTGCTTGAAAGGACCTCAGCCTTGGTCGTAGGTACTAGACGGGAAACGTCTATCACCCTTCCTTTCTGGCATGGAGACATCAATTCTCATGGAGAAAACACTTCGCGCACGTGGACCTGCTCAGCTCTCCATGTTGAATAACTAGCACGTTCATGCCATTCAACCGCCACCTCAACTCTTGATCCTTTCTTACCGTCACCTTTCTCATAAGGCCCTGTGCGCTCACCTGTTGAGCATTTCACTTCTCTGCCATAGTTGTTTTCCTTTCACCTCATGTTCATCTCTTCATGGCAAACTCGCATCCTGATATTTTCCTCTTCATCTGGGTCCGTTGCATCACGTGGTGCCCTCCTTCTATGTGCTGGTTCATCAAGTTCCGCTTCGTTTTTTCTTGGCTTTCCCATTGTGCCAAAGCTCACACTGACCCAGCCGGCTGGCCATCGTGATTCGTGTGTCGGACATTTTGGTCCTCATGGTTTGCTTGCACATGATGCATGACGATAAATGTGTTGTTTAGTCTCATCGACCAAATGTAGTTGATGACTCTTTTGTTCATGGGGACACCTTCCTGCACATCAACGCAACACTTCATGAATGTGTCAATGCCATCATTGATGATATCAACAACCTGGCGGAACAGTTTTTGTCTTTTCTCCAACCGTGTGGCCACACAAGGGGCTCTTACGGCAATGGTTAAGGCACGGGTCTGATCAAGGTGCTCGCATTCGTGTGCGGCTAATTCGCTGCTATTTACAGTACATTTATTCACCTCGAGATCTTCAAAATGCATTTTCAGAGCGGGTGTGTAAATTTCATAGCACGCGCAAACATGGTGGTGATCTTCGGTGTGCTGTGATTTCGTGGGAGGTGCATTGAATTGTGACGTTTGGACATGTGACATGTGGTTCGTTTTGAGAAATCCGAAGTTTTGGAAGTGTTTTTGCTGCGAATCGCCTGGGCAGGCTGCACGAATTGAATCTTAATAAGTGCAAATTTCGTGTGAGGGAACGCTTTGTGAACCTTGAGTGCACATGGCACGCGACACTTTTTCCAAGTTTGAAGTGCAGATTTTTGGCAAGCGCAGCGCTTTGTGAACTTGAGGTGCAGATTTCGTGGGACGTGCAGCAAATCATCGCTTCTCTCCAACGTGGGGCCTCTAGACCTCAAAAACTCTGCACCTAGGCCTTCAATTGTGATTCTAAACTAAACCTGGTTTGTGTCACCACCATGCACCACCACCACCACCATCACCACCCTCATCGCCACCACCATCATCACCACCAA